TTAATACGGCATTCAGATTGACACAGTCAACGAGATATCCACCGTCTTTTCGCACGAAAACCGGCTAAGCTTTCGTCCACCATATGATGTACATCACCATAGCTAGAACTAATTCTTCTAAAAGTCTCAGGTTAAAACTATGTCAAAAGGATCGTCAGGCGCTAACTTACCTCTTGTATATACTCATAATTACTTAACGAAAGCGAACGAAAAATCCCGTGATTTTGTTGGATATCCTAAGCTTTTTATATATGTTTATCGAAAACTGAAGTGCCTGCGGATTGGGCATGAAATGAATGTAATTGTGACCACAAATCGCTTGTCGTTTTGATCCAGCAATGTTCCCAAATGTGATTACGTTCTATTATATGCTTTTTGCATGCAATGCACGTGAGGCGCGTGGGATGTAAAAGCGCAAACCAGATTTAAGGCCAATTTGGGACAACACGATCACATAGATAGGCCTCGCGTTTGTTTGTGCAGTTTGCCACTGAAGTTAAATATGTAGAGACCATCACTAAATTGGTCAATACCATTACTATATCCTAACATAAATGTGTACCTAACATATACTAGTTTCGATTCAATTATAATTCTACTGTAGTGTAGCTAAAAATTGTGCAAAACCTAAATGAGCCTTTAAAATAATGTGTTAAATATACTTGCATTCATGAGACTAGTACATATCAACGTTCAAATTCTTTAGTCGGACAAGTGGCCGACCTTACATAAAAACTAATAAGCGAATCCCTATATTCTATCCCTTGCTAATAGATTAAATGAACGAATTTACAATAATTATCTATTTAAATATGCCATGCCTAGGGGATTTACTTAATTTATTAACAGATATATAGCGATGTAATAAGCATCATTAACAATACTTCTGAGTAGGACTCCTTAGTCATATAAATTGGGCAGAATATGTGCATTCGGGGGCTTGGCGTCGCGTTGAAGAACTGTCCATTTCCACTTATCTAATTGACCCAGAACTTACTCCATGTTGCAGATGACACCACAGTTTCTTGATGTCAGGATTCTTGGGATTATTTCCAGTCCCATTTTCCGCCTTGTATCTTCTGTACATCTATCCGTTATGTTAATAACTTCCACCAGAATATCACTAAGAACGTTTTCTTCATTACCTAGTGAAAAATGTAAACTCTTCCCTAAGAGATCCGTAGTTTCAGAATCAAGAGGTATTGAATGCAGGTTTACTACCTTCGGCCCTTTATAAACTCTACATTTTTTTTCTATAAATGATCTGGGATTTCCGTTACTATGGCAAATCCATGTCAGTTTATCCAACTCTTCGTCCCAGAACTCATTGTCCGTTAGTCATAAACTTCTGATGATTAAACTCCTCAATATTCCGATCTTTAGTCTGTAGTTATGATGAGACTGAGAATTAAGGACTATTCCCGCATACGAATTCTTTCTGTATAGACCCTCATGAGTGTCCCCTTGGAGCGTATGACTTCAATATCCAGAAAGGGTAGCCGTTCATCCTCCTACATCTTCATTGTGAATTTATTTCTTTCGTCAAGTTGGTTAATAACATTAAGGAATTCATTTAGATTTTTCTTACTATGTTACCAAATTGAAAAGTAGTTATCCAAATATCGCATGAGCACTCTTGGTTGCAGTGATGAGTTCTCCAATTCCATATCCAACTTGTCCATTTACACATTTGCCAAAATAGGTGAAAGTGGAGAACCCATCGGTAGTCCAAATATTTGGTCGTAGATACTGCCGTTTACTGTAAAATATGTTGTCCTTATTGTCAGGTTGATCAATCATGTTAACGATTCTTTCCGCCTCCACGATGTCCTCTTCTCGCTCTAAAATCTCCTGCAAGCCTCTTACCACCTTCTCGCCTGAGATGCTTGTGTACATGGATTGTAAATCGAAACTCACCAACAGTTCCGTCCCTACCAACCCTTTGTTCTGGATCCTTTAAGAAGATTCATATGAATTCTTGACGGTATCCACGAATCCTTCATTTAGTTTCTTGAGCTTTAAGCAAATGAATTTCGCTAGTTTGTGCATTGCTCCATGCTTGTTGTTGGCTATTAGTCTTAGCGGATTACCTTTGGTAGTCCGTAGGCTGTCGGTGGCCTTGCATCATTTTCGATTACAAATTTCCTTAAGTTTCCCGTTGATCTTCGTGGTTGGAACCTTCCTCAATATTTGATAAGTGTTCCGGTCGCCAAGAATACTTTCCATTTTCTCCGTGTATTGTTTCTTGTCCATTATAACCGTCGCTTCCCCCCTATCCGCCTGTAGAACTATTTGATCATTTTTTTGTAATTTTTTCCGAATACCTAAATCTCCTCCTGTGTATCGGTTCTTGATGTCTCAAGATCCGTGGGATTATTTCCAGTTCCATCTCCCGCCTTATATCTTCTTGATCCGCTATGTTGACAAGTTCCATCAGAATATCACTAAGAATATTTCCTTCATTACCTAGTGAAAAATGCAACCCCTTCTATAAGATAGCCGTAGTTTCAGAATCAAGAGGGATTGAGGATAGGCTTACTACCTTTGTCCTATCGTCGTATGTAGCATTTGATGCCTTCAATAAAGAACCATCAAAATTGGCCCGGGTTGGCTTGGTCTTGCGCTGTTTTATTATCCCATAATTAAGCAATTTCTTGTAATGCCTAGTATTTATCAGATCCCGGACCCTCTGTGACTTTTGGTCTGTCATGCTATGGAGTTTTTGAAAATCATCCAAAGTGAGAACCCTACCTAGATCCTTCTTCAATCTAAACTTGAGATCTATGAATGTAATAGCTCACGCCTCTCAGTCTCGTAGCTTTCCTCTAATTTCTGGATGGAGGCGTGATAGAGTATTTCATTAACTGTCCGAATGACACTTCCTCATTAGATTGCAAAATCGGAAGCGATACCACAATGTTTGCAGCATTTCAAAAAGGCCAAATGGCAGGATTGACCTACAATTGTCCTCTTTGTCCGTCTAATTAGTGCATTGTTTGGCAATCTTACTTCTATAGTTTAATCAAGTTATGAAAACCAAGATGGTGTGGTCGTAATCTCTTTTCGTTATATACAAGTTGTTTGACCTTGTTTTCGCTACTTGGTAACATTAGTAGGAAGACTTAGAGGAACGCACCTAGTCCGGATTTCATTGTATTCATAATAATTTCCAGTCGGACCGTGGGCCTGTTACATTCCCAGACGTTTCGCCGGCACCGTCATAAGTGTTTGGTCAAAGGATCGGCTTAACTTGTCTCTGACGAGTTTTTGTATGGTGTTAAGAATAATGATATTGACGATGCCGGCGAAACGTCTGGCAATGTACCACGTCCATGGTCCGACTGGAAATAATTATGCATACAATGGACTCCGGACTAGTTGCGTTCCTCTAAGTCTTCCTACCAATGTGAGCAAGTTGCAAAAACAAGATCAAACAACTTCTATAGAACGAAAGGAGACTGAGACCCCACAATCTTGGTCTTCATACCTTCGATTAGGGCCAGTATCTTATCGAAGCAATCTTCTTTCAATGGCCTCGAAGTCGAATCTACACACTGCATCTCCAAAATATATTCTTATTCAGGATTGACTGCAGTTTTGACCTCGTCTAGGCCCAAGACCACCAGCGGGACTCGAATCATGGCAATACAGCGTATAATCTCGACACGTTAAGATTTACGCCGCACCGTTACGAGTGCCCTTGGGCCAAGGGTGGATGTGAATTTCAAAAAGGCCATGCCTTTTCCCATATCACACTGTGGCAGGGCTGCCCATGAAGCTAAGTTATATTTTACTATAGCAACCGAGTGCGTTACCACTGGTAGTTTCAGAAACCTACCTGTGAAGAAAAATAAGTAATTTACCCGATTGTTATAGCAAAATAAAACTTTGCTTGATCGGCAATCCCATTTTACCGTAGTATATGAAAAAGTTTGGCCTTGCTTGAAATTCACACCTGCACTGTGACCCGAAGACCATCGCAGCGGTGCGGATTTATGGTCAACGGGTAGAGATTAGAAGCTGTACTAACAGTTCAGATCCCGCTGGGGATGATGATGAGACCCAGGCGAGACAAAAACTGCGGATGAGAATAACCTTTGAGGAGCAAGGCTATGTAGAATTAAGTAAA